GTTTACAGAGTAGTAGACTAATGTTCTTAATAGTCGACTACTAATACTGATATATGTTATACAGAGTCTGGATGGACTTAGTGTAGTTGACTACTAAGCCTAGTAGTCGACTACTAAGACTGTTGCCTGAATTTTTGTTTTGCATCTGTTTGAGATATATTTGCGGGTTTTGAGCCATAGTTCTTTATATGTAAATTCATGAATAGTGTAGTGGCATAGCCATGGGTATGCTGAAAGGAATTATGATAGGTTTTGACCCGATTACGTTGAGAAAGAGTTTAGTACATATTATACACACACTTTCTGGATATCATTGATGAGCTCAGTTTAGTATTACGAGGGTAGTGCGTCAATATTCTATTTGTACAGGCCATTGAGTCGGGTTTGGATGCTTTATCTAGTAGTTCGTCCGCACGAGGGTGCGATGAGGCTTATGAGCTGTACTTCTAAGATACATATATGGTAGGTCATTCTGCACTCATGTTACGCACTAAGATCGCGCTGAGACTAATGAACCGTGTACACTGATTAGGATACCTACAGGGTAGTCCGTTGCATATGATAATGCTAAATATTAAAATCTTGCATAGAGTTGCATTGAGATAATTAAATTATAGCCCGAGTCATTAGCAGATGCCAGTTATGTTTTTGACTCACTGCTGAAATATATGACCCAGAGTACTTTGCATTTGAAAGCACACGGGATTTGTGCCGGTATTCATTCTATCTTTCTAGTGGTGAAAGATATTATGAATATGATATGTTGATGTCTTTACTTTTTTTTACTTCTTTACTTTATTTTCTTAGTTGGGATCAATAATTAGTGATTCATAATTTGAGACATATGGTATATACATGAGGGTTTCCTTGTTTGTATTAATTCGCTCGACATACCAGTCTCGTGTTGTGGATTTCTAATTATTGATTTCATTTAGATTGTTTATCTTTTGTTCAGTATTAATGTTTAGATGTTTACAATTCAGGACATATGGTATATACATGAGGATTTCATTATTTGGATTATTTCGCTCGACGTACTACGTCTCGTATTGTAGGTGTCTAAATATTAATTCCATTAGATACGAGGGATGATGATCTAGGTAGACTACGCTTAATAGATAGAGCATCCACTCCATCTAGCAGCCCTTCCCCTGAGGGTAGATGGAGGTGATCTTGCTATAGCACTCTGACGCTCTTGTTGTTGTTCTTTTTCTTCTAATATTCTTTCAGGTAATTCGGAGTACCGGAGAGTCGTAAGATGACGGAGTTTTTGTATAGTCACTGTCACATGAGATTTATTAGAGGCTCCACCATAGTTTTATATTTTTGTTCAGACCTTAGAGTTTATTTCATAGTGTAAAGGCAATGTGCCTTAGTATGATTTTTAGTTGTTTCTTGTCAAGACATATTTATTCATTTTGGATATCAGATGTCTTCCAGGTTGTTCATTGAGACATGATTTATTCATTTTGGATATCAGATGTCTTCCAGGTTGTTCATTGAGACATGATTTATTTATGAGATACTTCTTTCTATATCATGTCTATTATAGTTATTTCCTTTCTTTTGCCTATTTTGTACTTGCACTTTATTTTTATTCCACTAGAGGATATTGCTGTGATTGGTAAAACTTGTTGTTGCACAGTGTAGGTGCTTGGCAGGTTTGACATCTCTGAGTTCATCTTAGACTGCAACCATGTGTGAAAATAGAGGCATCACAGCTTAAAATTAGTTTCATTGACATCGGGTAGCTTAATGTAAGATGGGATTACATTCCTAGTTAGGTAAAACATATCTTGAAGAGCTAGTGGATTGGCCATTTCGTTTGTCTCAAAAGATAGTTCAACACGATTTAAACAATTAGTATTGTCCCTAATCCAAATTTGCATACCCCAAAACAAAGTTTTTTAATTTTTTTTAATTCTAAGAAAAACAAAAGTTGTTTATGGAGAAAAACTAAAAGATCCAAAAGAAATTAAAAATGATAAAAGAAAAACCTAACTAAAACAAATCAAGAGCAATCACTTATGTCAATCACTTTTAAATTCTAGGGTTAAGCCTAAACTTAACTAGACCATATCCTAACAAAAAACACCTTTAGGGGCTATTTGGTTGGTAAAAAAACACAGAAAAGGCTAAAAGAAAACTGAGACAAGGTATGTTTGACCTTTTCCTTCACAATCTAGTGATTGGTTTGCAAAAAACAAAAAGGAAAGTGATGGAAAATAAAAGCGCCACGTTAGATTTTTAGCCAGAAAATTTTTCGGAGTTCAGAGGCCAAATACAAGAGAAAAGTAGACATTTTCTCTCTCCGTACCCCCAAAACATTTTCTAGGGTTCACGATCAGTGTTTATTTTTTCCGCCGCTACTTGTTCTGGTCACCTCCGCCACCAAGGGTTCGCCTTCCTCTTCCTCCTTCCTTCCTTCTCGTGTACCTCCTCCGCAATCAAATACAATCTCGTTTTCCTCCTCCGCCTTCATCCTGTTGTGCGATGGCCAGCGAAGTGACCTCCTTAGGCTTCCCTCCTGCCTTCCCACCATGCAAAGCCCAGCAACGTGACCTCCTCTGCCTTTTGGGCTGTTATTTAGAGGTAATTGTTTTAATTTTTAATTTTTTAGGTTACTAAATCTTTGATAAATTGCTCATTTTAGAGGTTTTGGTGTTGAGATTTCATTTGATGAATTTTGTTGGAGAAGCTAAAGAGAGGAATTGTGAAGTGGGTATAGCTCGTTTTGTCAAAAGAGGTAATGGGTCTTCCTGTTTTTTTTTTTAGGTTTTGATGAATTTTGTAAATAGGGTGGCATCTTTTTTGTGTAGGTACGTAAAAGTTGAATAACTGAGCCTGTTCATATAGGAAGATTAGAACTTGTGGAATTTAGATGCTGGTAGTGATTCCTGAAAAATGCAATTCTGTTATACAGAAATTGGTAACTGGGTCATCCTTCCTCCTAGTGTTTAAAATGATTGTAAATAGCTAAGCTTATGTTGATGGATGATAAACTGTTTCTATTGCTCTTTTATGGAAATATACTATAGTCGTTGGTGATGGTTCAATGAGAGAGTTTAGTTTGTTTTATATGTTTCATTAATATGCAACGTAGCAACAGAAGGTTCAATGAGGGAGTTTAGTTTGTCCTATAAGTGTATGTTCATTACTTTCAATGAATATCCAGTGGATATAGATGATCTACGCTTCTATTTTTTCCTTAAATTTAACAATTATGGTAACTTTGGGGTGGAATGATTTGGATAGGTTGAGATCTACGCCGATGCTTGATTCAATGTGGTATTTTTTTTCCATACTAATTGGATTGCACGTGCAATGCACGTGGTAAATTTTTAAATTTATTATTTTATTATTGATTTATTTCATTATGATTTATTTAATTTAATCCATGTTTCAAACATATGGATAGAATTTAAAAATTAAAAAGGATTGAATAATGAAATTACATTATGTATGAACTGGGTCATAATAGATTGTTTGTATACTTACCAATATTGATTTTCAATCAACCAATGCTACATATATATATAGTTGACATCGGAAAACCTATTTAATCATAATCATCCAATATAAATGTTACTAAAATAGTAGCATCAAAATTTTTTTTAGTCTTACTTATTTCTACTCCTCAAAACAATTAATAGTCATGTAGGAAGCAGTAGAGATACACCAAATGAGGATAACCATGATAGTATAATTAAAAATAATATTGTTTGTTTTTACAAATATGGATCATCTTTAATTAATAATTTTTCTGTAGATATCACTCTCAGATTGGCCCCTAATAAGTTTCTTATTAGAATGAAATTCAGCTATCATAGATCCACTGAAGTTGTCTTATCACAAGCTAAAAACAATGACATATAGAACTATTAAATCACCAAAGCTTTTTTTAGTCAATTGTTGTTTGAGTTTTCTTAGTAAGCTGCCAACATTTATGCGTTCTCCCGAGGCACAGCGATAAGAAGGCTTTGCTAAGCAACCACTTGTTCTCTCTTATTTATCACCTAAATGAAAGTTTTTAACCACTTGTTCTCCCTTCTTGTTGAGGAATTATCTCGGGGGTTTTATCTCTGTCCATCTTTTGACTTGCCCTCGGCAAAGAGGGCAAGAATCAAAATCTATGGACTCCAAGTTTTCATCATCGTCGTGTGTGCAGGATAATCTATAACACATGAATCTTCATTGTTTGCAGGATTTGTGATGATCGACTCATTTTTGTACTCCAAAGATTCTGCAGCAAAAATGCTGAATAAATTTTTACCTCAAGAGGCCAATCAAGCGTAACTCAACTCTGTAGAGTCATCTCTGAAGTCCTATGTCCTAAGAGGCATTGCATTTAACTTACCAAAGTAAAACAAAGGCACATGACCTTTCAGAAAACACAATAGACTAAGCACAAATGACTCTTCTCGTCAAGAAAGAAGAACGTCATAATGGATTTTGTTATAGATTATTTTGGAAATTACATAATTATTACCTCAAATTAAATTCAGTTTGGGGAAAATTGTTGGAAATCTTCCTCCAATTAAGCTAATAAATGATCATTTTCTAAAATTGCTTCAGTCAAAAAAACGACATAATTGAAGGAGGAAAACAAACATGAACCCTTAATAATCCTGAAAGTAGAAACCCCTGTAGGTTTTAAACAAATGTCTGTAGAAGTATTATACTAGGTTTTAGACGGTGAACATAACCAAACAAGAAATGCAAATAAGTTCACTGTTATCACGTTTCATAAAATAAAGTGTTTTTAGATGAGCACCCAGCTGAAAGCAAACACATTTAATCAATAAATCATAAAACATTAGCAATATGTTTTTTAGAGGAATACATTCACAACTATACCAAGAGCACTCACTGCCAACAAGAAGACAATCTTAGGGATTAGAGAACACCAATACAACCACTAGTAAAGCCACCATCTAACAGCTATGCATTCTTCAAATAATACAGAAAAAAATATTTACTATTCCTACTTTCATCACATTTCATTCCATCTTTGCCTTTGAAAGATCCTTCTTTCGCTGCCCTAGCATGTAAGTATACATGTGTGGACTCCCTATGACAAGATGTGTTCCAACAAAAGAAGTTTAGCAGTGACCAAAGAGGAGTAACAATTTTTTTTGTGATAAATATCGACACAGATTTTGAAAATATCAGATACATACTTGGCACATAATTTCCAAGAGCAATGATAGCTGCATAGAAATAATCGAAAGAGAAGTTCCACTTGTTTGGTATCCTAATAAAGTATTTTTCAGAGGCCTATCATTACCAAAAACCAAAGGATAAAGTCATTCCCTCATGATAGCAAATAGATGAAACCCAATCTAAAATGAAACATTTTTGGTACCTTGATGTAGGCCAGAGCTATAAATATCATGCCGTCCTCGCTTGTGATGCCAGGAGGGTATAAGATCAAAAAGGTGTTGTATCTGAAATTATATACGCACATTTAAATTACATGAACACATATAAACAAGTAGGATTATGTCAAATGCAGCAAAAAAGTACCTTATCCATAAGAGCCAGGATGGTGCAGATCCAAACGCATACTATACGACTAAAAATATTGTATTCTTATGATTCAACAAATTGCATAACCTAGAAAAAAATTTGACAGACATAAGAAAATCAAGTTTCTACCAAAAAAATTAAAATAAAATAAATTAAAATAAACAAAACAATCTCTGTTTAACAGCTTAACTAAAATATCATACCTTTGAGATTGCAATTGCTTCATCCAGTCCTGGGGGAGGTGAGTCCAGTAACTTTCCTAGTTTGAGTTCTCCTAGATTAACCATAACAAACTAAAATGTAAGTAAAACACAAGAAACATATGCAAAAACCTCACCATATAGCAAATCAGTCTGCCAACAAATAAATTCCATATGCTGGCATAAAATATAAGAAAAATGCATAACTATGAACAAGGAGATATAATTCCACTTGGGGCCTGTTCGTTTGTTTTCTAAAAACCAAGAAATAGAAATGGAAATGGTGAAAATCTCAAAACTCACCATTTCCTCCATTTCCATCTCTAAAACTCACCCACAACATCCAATAAAATATTATTTCCATCCAACAACTCATCCACATCATCTAATAAAATATAATTTTCATCTAACCACTCATCCATCACATCTAATAAAATATTATTTTCATCTAACAACTCATCCATCACATCTAATAAAATATTATTTTAATCCAAACATCACTCAACTCATATCTTCTCATCATTTCAAATCACTCACATCATCCAATAAAATATTATAACAATTCACCTCATCTCATTAACATTTTATTTCTTCATTTTCATCCCAAAAAGTTATGAAAATACTTTTCTTAATCTTTCTTCACATCACCCAATAATACAATGACAACTCATCTCATCTCATTTCATTTCTTATTTTTAAGAATGAACCGAACAAAAGAAAATAAGAAACTACAGGAAATAGGTTTCTTATAATTCATTTCCTTATTTTTTTCGCCAACCGAACACTCCAAAACTAGTTTTCTTAAAAAATCACAAACATCATCCAATAATAAGGTGACAACTAACATCATTTCAATTTCATTTCTTTGATTTCCTTCTTTTTTAGCCAACCAAACACTCCAAAAACAATTCTTCATTTTAATAGTTTTCCATTTCTTTGATTTCCCTCTTTTTTTTAGGCAAACGAACAGGCCCTTGTATGAAAAGAATCATTGAACTTAAAACTTGAGCAAATCACACACTTAAGAATGCATTCCCTAAAGTAACTTTTAGCTTATTATAGAGAAAGCAACGTGCCAAAACCTGTAAACCTTATGCGAGAAAGTATTGGAATAAATAGTACTCTTGAGGACTTTAATAGACAACCAAAAAATGAATTTCTTTCAGTCATTGTTGCAATCTATAATGTCATTAGATTCTACCTGGTCAGCAAGCATTCCAAAATCCCATTATATGATTGCTGAGATTTAGGTTCCCGGTCATTTTTGTAAAAAACACCTCTCTAGAGGAAACTTCATAAAAAAGATCAAACACTATTATGGGTGACACGCCAAACTAAATCTTCATAAATAAGATAAATGAGTGCTTCCCAGATGAAATTTTCACTGTATGAAAGCAATAATTCAATAAAAAATCATCATATCTTCATTACATTGTTTAACTTGTCGTGTGTTTTTCTCAAAAGAAAATAAATGGTGTGATCGTGATGAGTAATTGAGTATATTAATAACAGCAAGAACAAATACTTGCATAGCGTGAAGGAAGAAGTTTTACCTTGAATGCAATGTCTCTAGGGGCCATGGCCAATCCAGCACCCATTGAGTCATAAAAATCACATTTAAGTCATCCAGACAACAAAATTGGTAACTGTTCTTACCTGAATTAACCACCTTCTATTATCTTGTATGGATGTTTACTTCGATTTTCTTTGTTCAGTTGTGTCTGTCTGCGTGCATGTGTGTGTGTGTAAACCAATTAGGACCTGTTAACTAAGAGAAGCCTGGTGAAATTAGTTCAACCCTGTTGGAGCAAGCATTGAGCTGACGTCTTATAGTTTTTTTAGATTCAGTTCTAGCTTCTTCACATGATTTCCAATCGTGATTGGTTAGGCTCGAAGTACTTGTTTTGATGACATATAAGTTATATGCCTATAAGCTTATACAACCCAAACTCTTGAGTCTTAAGTTCACAGAACAAATAGATTAACATTATCCCTGCTGTTTTCCTAGCTTAACCATAACAAACTAAAATGTAAGTAAAACACAAGAAACATATGCAAAAACCTCATCATATAGCAAATCAGTCTGCCAACAAATAAATTCCATATGCTAGCATAGAATATAAGAAAAATGCATAACTATGAACAAGGTGATATAATTCCATTTGTATGAAAAGAATCATTGAACCTAAAACTTGAGCAAATCACACATAGATGAATCTGGTCAGCAAGCATTCCAAAATCCCATTATATGATTGCTCAGATTTAGGTTCCCGGTCATTTTTGTAAACAACACCTCTCTAGAGGAAACTTCATAAAAAAGATCAAACACTATTATGGGTGACACTCCAAACTAAATCTTCATAAATGAGAGAAATGAGTGCGGCCCAGATGAAATTGTCACTGTATGAAAGCAATAATTCAATAAAAAATCATCATATCTTCATTACATTGTTTAACTTGTCATGTGTTTTTCTCAAAAGAAAATAAATGGTGTGATCGTGATGAGTAATTGAGTATATCAATAACAGCAAGAACAAATACTTGCATAGCGTGAAGGAAGAAGTTTTACCTTGAATGCAATGTCTCTAGGGGCCATGGCCAATCTAGCACCCATTGACTCATAAAAATCACATTTACGTCATCTGGACAACAAAATTGGTAACTGTTCTTACCTGAATTAACCACCTCAGCCACTTCTCTCAGAAATCTAGCTTCTTTGTAACTTCTTCTTTCCAAGCCATCCTGAAAAAATAGTTTTAAAACATTTAAGAGTCACACTTTGAAATTTAATTATGGGCAAATAGCAAGCAATTGGAAATGTCAGTTGATCAACCTTAGCCAGCTTTAGAACATCTTTAGCAATATGTCTTAATAAGCCATCCCGAAATGGCGTCTTTAAGCCAATCATTGGTACCTATTGAAACTCTAATGATCAATTTCTCAATAACTGAAGACATTCAACGTGTACAGCACAAATATTTCAAATATAAAGGCACCCACATAAATCAGACAGTAGTAAGCTATGTACAATATCAAGTAATATGTTTAAATAAAACTTTAAACCTTTCTCCTCAACATCTCCCTTTCTTATTTTGTCCCGTCACCAGTCATGTTTAGAACATTTTGTAATGCTACCTCATCATACAACAAGCCAACCTGCAACAATATAAACACAAGGACAACAAGTTAGATCAGGTGTACATTAAACCTAGAGACATTGCAAAACATGAATGAAATAGTTAGAATAAACATGTTTGAATTCAACTTGACAAACTCATCAATAACATACATACCTTCAAATCATCGAGATCTATATGGCTTGTTTCCATGTGCATTGTTGATGTTGATATACCTGAATTTGACATTTGTTCTTTAAAGAAACATGATGATAAATCAAACATTGAACTAAGGATGCAGAGGCATTTAATAGATAACAAATCATAAGACTTTAGTGACTTTGTATTGCTGGCATTAACTGGTCTAACATTGGAAGGTACCTCAACCGATGAATTTTAGGGAGATTTGAAGACAGTATGATCTGGGGTTGCCAGTGGACTCTTGGATTGAGTGAGAATCAAAGGAGAACACTGGTGGGTAGGCAAGAAGGAACCACATCCTCCAAACCTTGCTCCTGTAATTTTAAAAAAAATTCAAATCCACATCTAGGACTACATTACCACATTTGGGTATTTAGTGACCTTCTGCTGGCAATAGTGTTTATCCTGGCTTACCCAAGTTCTCGGTAGAGGCTCCAACTTCAAAGTCTTTTTGAAAGTGCCGTAATACATCTTGGAGTTTGTCATCCTAAAAACATAACAATAAGGATGTCAGCAAGCATATATAGCTAACGCAAAAAAGATTTGCATCTTTGAAGATATTACATACTTCAGACTGGTTTATGTGTGTGTGTGTGTGTGTGTAGCCAACTCCCAATTATTGTTCACATGAAAATTCAGGTTATATTTTCCCTTATTGAGCTTGAACACCATTACAATGACTACTTTTATGCAAAACAAATAGTCGGTATCATTGACTCTACATTGCATGCAAATTGAATATATAACGAGGTTCTTTTAGGTGCATTAGATTTCATTACTCCTTCAAATTTGGATAACAGACAAAGAAAACTAATAGTGTTTCCACAGATCAAGTAGTCTAAATGAAGGGGCAGACACTAAACACCGCTATAGTCACATACATTAATCTTGAAAGAATGACATAATACTTGAAATTTTTTGTTTAATCTGAACTTCTAGTCACCAGACAAGTATCCTAGCCAAAGAGCCAAAATCATACATCCCACCATTACTAAGTTTCGCCCATTACACAAACACCAATTAGACTTGCAACTATCTCTAACTCTACTCCTACACCAAGCATTAGTATCAAAACTTCTTTGATACTTGAACACAACACCAAAAGACTCGAATCTTAATTCAGATATCTACACCCATTAAAAAATTTTGACCTTTTAACAATCAAACAAACCAAAGTTTCTTATATGCAATGTATTAAAATCGGCCGATATATCGCTATTGTATGTCTATAAATATCAGAACAATACATGGATATCAAAGGTCATTTGAATTGTAGACTCATATGGTGATGTTGTTGGGTCTGGATTCACTGAACGCATAGAAAGTTGTATCAAACACCAATTATCTACATATATTAAAGAATCTGGTGCACCTATTATTTATACTTTCATGATTCTTCACCATCCTTGACAACTCCAACACCAACAGAAAACTTTCCTTTACAACTTGGCAAATCTAAATCTAAAATAAATAACCAAGACATTGTTGCTATTGATGATATAGGCAAATAATATTTATATCATCTATCATTGAGCATGATATATCCTAATCTCAATTGTCAGCACATCAACATGAGAGCACAAACCCACTAAATAGGCCTTATATTGTTCAAGCTACAATTTCTAGACTGATTACTTCTATACAAAATGTTATTATTTAACCAAACTCAAAGTATATCAACCTGGGATATCTTCATTCTCTAAAAACTTATGTATCTGGACAGATTTTACTGGTTTTTCACATTATGGTCGATGATCCAGTTTGTAGAACTTTATGATTTGTGTTATAATCATTCAATAAGAGTAGAAAAGTGCAGTAGTAATTTAAAAAGAACTGATCTAACTGAGAAATGGAAAGATTGAGATTAAACTTACTTTCTAATCTCGCTCCTGCTGCCCTTTGAATATTGAAACCCTAAACAAAGTATGATGAAGCAAATAAATTAAAGAGAGTTAGGGGAGGAAAATAAAATAAATAAATAAGTATATATATTATACCAATCAAATAAATAATTTAATGAGAAACAAAGGGTTTTACCGAAGGTTCGGGACCTGAAATGGACGAAGGTTGGAGAGCAATATTACCTGCTTTTACCTTAGGCATTGATTCGGCCTTTGGCATCTAAACTCGTTCGGACCTCGGCGATCTCTTAACGGCCTCTCCCTTTAGCATTTCTCGTGCTTTTTGGACCAGAGTCTACATAGTAAGTAATAATCAGTCCTGTAAGGTTTTCATTTTATCAATTGTATTAAAAAGGAAAAAAGAAATGTGATGCAATGGTTTTGTAACGCTATACAGGTTATCCATTATTTTGTGAAACAGAGCAAATTTACCTCACTTCTAGTAGAGTTGTCCATCATAACAGATGGTCTTACAGTAAGTGGCTGAATAGGAAGAAGTCGTAATATCATCCAATCCGGACGATCATCTAATCTTCATTGATTATCCTGTTAAGAACACTGAGAACATGGCCATGTCATAAAACAGAAACAAATGAATTTGGACTACTAAAAGAAATAAATTAGAGTAACAATTTTGCAAAATTAGCTACCCTCTCTGTAGAAAGCTATTGTTTCCTCTCAACAGGTTCAGGAAGCTGTGCTTGGTCATCAGATTTCTTGCAAAGGACTCATCAACAATAGTTTGTGTGCGGTATAGATAAGTAAAAAATAGTTCACATACAAATTTAAAGTAATAAAGTGAACTATTTCCTGAATATGTATTTAGATTCACACAATTGAATGTTAAATTTAAGCTAATAACTGCAATAACAATCAAAGCATGCAATAGTTATCAAACAACTATATGTGCATATGTTTATAAATCATAAATTGTCCTAACAAATTAAATTCATCAGTTCATAATCTTAAAAGCATATGAAAAGTTCATTCGAAATCCTTCAACCAATTTGTAAATGTAATGAAAATTAAAAATTGTTCATGTTTAATTTTTGTGGGCCCTTGATCAATCCTTCTCCACCTTTATCATTTTTTTTTGGTAAATCGAGAACTGAATCATCGTCATCAATGTTGATTGTGATGTCTTCTTGGATTTTGATTTCTTGTGCTATTATCTTTCCTTGTGCATGTTCATCCTTTAAGTTCTCATCCAACTTTACAAGGAACTTGTATGTCTTTCCGATGTTGAGAACACACTTTTGGAAGAATGTACTCTGATTATTTTTTTGTTTTAATGAAAAAATTAAGATCTTATACATTAAACATATTGTTTTATATGTATAAAATATAATAAAGTAAGAAGTTACCACTTTTATATCATCCATGAATTTTTTAGCCTTGCATCATATCAAAGTTTCTGCTGCGTCAAAAAGTATCACTCTTGCACTATCTGTCTCATCTTCAACTATGATTTTAACTACATACCTACATTTTGTATTATCATTGTGTATCAGATGATATTTTTATATTTAATCTTTATATTTTTCTTTCATGAGTAATTGATAGTCCTTTACCTCGGTATATTATATTCATTGTTTTTTGACAATTTTGACCTTTGTCATAAATAGTTTTTTCTACTTTTTTATTGCAGCTTTTGTAAGAGTAGTTTTAAGATGTTAATTATTTTTCCCATAAAGCTGCCATATTGTGCTTGTAGAGTTGTAAAAATTTAGTTAGTTATAATCGTAGTTTATATATATTTAGTAAATAAAATAAGAAATTATAAAATAATTGAAAAAAAGATAGTCAAAAATGAATTTTTTTTTAAAATTAATTTAAAAGTAATAATTGTAAATGTATTTGAAACATATTTAGGATAACTTATAAATATATTAAAAATATATGATTAGAAAATAAATCATTTTTTAGGGAATATAATTAAAAAATTCATGTTTACTTTATATCTTACCAATGAAACAATATCTATTTATATCAGCCTATTTTAAAACTGAAGCTCTTGATTCATTAATATTTTATAGTAGGATTTTTAATATCATACCTTTGATGATTTTTGTGCTCTTGATTCATTAATATTTTATAGTAGGATTTTTAATATCATACCTTTGATGATTTTTGTGAAGCTTGCATAATGTCAACAATATTCATTTGTAGGATTTTTAATATCATACCTTTGATGATTTTTGTGAAGCTTGCATAATGTCAACAATATTCATTTTTGCTACATTTTTAAATAGCCTTGATGGAGTACCATTAGTCTTGATATCGGCTTTTGAATGAGCCCTGCATATAATTTTAAAATTTTTAAAATTTTAATTTATTAAGTTACCTTTTTATTTGAATTACCATTCTTCCATGTCCTTAGCAAGCTGTATTTCTGGGTTGATACATATTGTTGATGCAATTTGTGAAGTCATGCACATCTCCCCTGCATATATAATAGTTATAATTAGAATTTGATATTTATTGATAAATAATTTACAATTTAATAATAAAAAATATTACATTTATACAATGATATTTTAAAATCTGATAGTGCTATTATAGTTGTCTCATTGATATTGCCTTCAATAATTGAACCTTCATTATTAGCTAAATCTCTGAATAAAGTTACAGACAATGTTATATCACTGTGTAAGAAAAGTTAGACAATTTTTTGTTAATATATTATATTT